GAGAGCCAGCATGGTGTAGTGGTTTGAGTATTGGACTACAACTCTGGAAACCAGGGTTTAAATCCCTATAAAACCCACTGGGTGACCTTGGGCAAGTCACACTCTCTCAGCCTCAGGGGAAGGCAACAGGAAACCTCTTCTGAACAAACCTTACCAAGAAAACCCCATGATAGTTTCGCCTTAAAGGCACACAACAGCAGTTCTTTATAAAAGAGCTGGCATGGTGTAGTAGTTTGAGTGTAGTACTGGGTTTATCCACACTGCAAAAATAAAGCAGTTTGACACACAACAACAAACATAGGCTTCAGAAGGACTTGCTTCTGAATACAAGTGTACAGAATTGCACTGTAGGTGGAGCTGTAAACCTTTGCATATAAGGAAAGACATAGATGACCCAAGTTCACATTCTTAAAGCCACAAAAAGCCCACTATTTTGAATTGCCTTGGGCAAGTGTCTTCAGCCTGGTCTATTCTTGCAGGTTGTTTGTGTAAAATGTAAGGTATATTGTAGTTCACCTCTTAGACATAGCAGGAAAGAAACAAAAATCAATAATAAAATATTTAGTGGTATGTGAGTGTATCTTTCTAGTGTGTTTTGTAAACAAAAGTAAATTACTTACATTTTATTCATACACGATGTTTATGTATAAAGATATATTCTCTATTTCCTGCACAAGATGGACCTAAGAATAGTAATGGGAACGTATTTCAGTTTTGTTTTTGTTTTTTTGCTGTACTTCCTTTTAGAGGAGGCACAATTTTTTCTCTGTAGTGACCAAAATTTATTTGGGAAAGTAACATTAACAGGAACAAACTACTTAGGAGTAGGGCTACTTTGTCTCAACTTTAATTCCTTTTTTACTGAGAATAGAATTCAAGTTAAACATATTAAGGACATATCAAAAATAAGTTGCTGTCTGTGGCTGCATCCTCACTGAAGAAATAATCCAGTTTGACACATCTTTAATTTCACAGCGGAATGCTATGGTATTCTGGGAATTTTAGTTTTGTGAGGCATTTAGCCTCTGTTAGAGAGCTCTGGTGCCACAACAAACTACAATTCCCAGAATTCTGTAGAATTGAACCATGGCAGTTAAAGCAATATCAAACTGGATTATTTATGCAGTGCATATGCAGTGTGAATTTTGCCTTAGTATAAACCAGAATTATGTGCCTTTGACCCTCAACAACACGTTAAAAAATCCCACATGTCTTAGAAGGAAATGAAAGTATAATTATACACATATGAAAAGAATTCTTAGCCATTTCTCAATTCTTGTAATTGTAATTCAAGTATGCTGGGAAAATATGTTCCTTAGTAAAATATTTGCTGTTTTTGATGTGAGAAAATATTTCCTCAAAGAAATGTCCATCTTTCCACTAAAACCTTTCTTATTTACAGTCAGACAGAACAGTTGCCTTCACTGGATTACAAGTTGAGCATATACGATTAATTTTCTCAGATCAAGAAACATGTCAGATGAAGAAAGTTTTAGCACCTTAGCCTACACCAAGAGTCCAAAATTCTCCAAAAGAACTGCTTTTCAGGTAAAATATTTCATCTCCAAGTCAAAATTGATGTGCATAATAATCTTTATTTATTCACTGTATTTATACCCTGCTCTTCAGAAATGCTCTCACAGTAGCTTACAAATTGGTATGGTAATAGACAGTTTCCTGCCCTCAGGCCTACAGTCTAAAGCAGGGACAGGCAACCTTTTTCAGACCTGGACTGGTCTCCCATAGCCCAGGTCTTGGCTGGGCCGAGGGGGGGGGGGGGAATGGCGGCGTGCGCATGCGTGCACCCTCCTCCTACGCGCGCGACCCCCTGCGCACGCTGCACGGCCACAGCCACCACGGCGCATGTCGCGGCCGTCATTTTTGAAGTCAAAATGGCGGCCACGACGCGCTTGCGCATGCGCAAGAGTACTGTGCATGGGCAAACGTGTCGAGACCGCCATTTTGACTTCCAAAATGACGGCCACGACATGCGCCGCCGAAAACGCGCCCCGTTGGTGGCGCGCAGCGGCGGCAATGGCAACAATCTTTGGCCTGGGCCAGTAAGTCCGGGGCCCAGGGCCTTAACTGGCCCCTGGGCCATAGGTTGCTGGTCCCTGGTCTAAAGGCAGGACACAGAAAGAAAGGGGATGGCAGTGGGAGAAGGGATTGAGTCAAGCAGAAACTGTGATCTAAAACACACTGCAGTTAAAGACCGCTTTAATGGTCCTGGCTTAGTGCTGGGCAATTCTGGGAACTGTAGTTTTGTGAGACATTTAGCCTTTTCTGCAACAATAAACTACAGTTCCCAAGATTCCCTAACAAAGAGCCAGGGCAGTTAAAACAGTCTGGAACTGTTTTGGACCTGTCTTTTATTCTCTTCCTCTGAGGCCAGGGAATAATCTTCACCGTGAACCGAAATAATTTTCTACACTTTGTTAAAATAATAACAATAATATTGGCCCAGAACTTTTACATGTCAGT